GGGATGTGAGATGTAGTACTGCTGAAACACCTTGTCGATCAACAGAAATCTTTTCATAAATTTGTAATCATGATTGCAACTTCTCAAATCAGATGAAACAAGCAATTTGAAGAGCCCTGGGGAAAAGTGGTGGACATTTATTCCTGCAATTTTCTGACATTTTATAAACTAAACAAATTAATTTTGAAATTTACTGACCCATCACTCAGATTTTTAGTTGCAGCCATAGATCTGAGAAATTGACCTTCAAACTGTGTCTTAATCCTTAAATTATCCTGTCACAGTCTGGCTCAATTTTTCATAAAGTCTAACTCCATGGTTAAAGTCGTACTCTGTATTAAATTTAAAGAAATAGTTCACCCAAAAACAATATAAATTGTATGTAATATTCGCCTCCCTAGGCTCTCTGTGGTCCCAGAAAAGGTTTGCTGTTGAATGATGTTATGAAAGCATATCAGTGTAAACAGACTTCTAAGGAAGCCGAACAAAAGACAGCAAAAAAAGGTTATAAAACGTTGCAGGTGGGTCGTCAATTGACAGCACAAGCCAGCAAACGCGCTTATGTGTGCACAACAAATTTCCCCACGGACGCATGATAGGTATAGGTGGTGGACTGGAGTCACATGATTTGACTGAGTGTCAGATTTGAGTCTCAAAGTTGAAGAATTGAGACTTGATTGAATGACATTGATAAAATACTTGACTTTGACTTGACTTTACTTAGACTTCAGACAGACTTGACTTTTTTTAAAAATATTTGCATTTTTCTAGATATTGAGAGGTTATGTTTTGTTGAGTTTCCGTAGAAGGGTAACTGGGCTCACTCTTAGCGATAGGGTGAGGAGCTAGGACATCCTGAGGGAGCTCGGAGTAGAGCCACTGCTCCTTCACGTCGAAAGGGGTCAGTTGAGGTGGTTCGGCCATCTGATCAGGATGCCTCCTGGTCGCCTCCTGTTAGAGGTGTTCAGGCACATTCCATTGGTAGAACATGCTGGAGGGATTACATATCTCATCTGGCCTGGGAACACCTTGGGGTCCCCCAGGAGGAGCTGGAAAGCATTGCCGGGGAGAGGGACGTCTGGGGTGCTTTGCTTGGCCTGCTGCCCCCATGACCTGGCTTTAGATAAGCAGTTGAAAATGGATGGATGGTTTTGTTTTTGGTCAGTTTCTAGTGCAATGCGTGCAAATCTGGATACAGACCAGCATAGCCAACACACAAGACGGCTATCACAAAGGCAGGTAGTTGAAAAACGAAAAAAATTTGGACCTAAGGATTATGCTGTAGATGATGACAGAAAGAAGAGAACAGCGGTATGCAATGTCTCCAGCTTGAAAATCAGTGACACGACCACCACATCATCCAGCTTCATTTGTCACTACGTTTCAGCTAACTTGGTAGCTTATTGACTGATAAAACGTTAGCTAGACCAGAAAATTGAGCCTGATTTATGGTCCTGCGGCGTACCTACAACGTACCTACGTCATTGCCGTGACACCGTCATGAACCCTTCGAACTTCTCCGTCACTCCATTTCGTCGCGGTGCAATTCACCGCCAGAGCAGTAGGGGGCTGCGTTCCTTTCCTGAGTGGTTATCGTCGTCTCTAGTTGATTCTTTGTTTAGCTACCGGCTTTTCTGGTCACAGTGAACAATGATGACCGAGAGAGAGAGAATCTTGCTGGAGTTGGAGTTGTTGGATATCGAAGAAAGTATGTTAATACTGCAACATCTACATCGCAACAGAATATGTTTAAAGATGGTGGGGATGGCGCAATCTGGAAATACAGAACCGGAAATGCGTTGCTACCAAGCAAACCATTCACAGCCCTCTCGGTCAGCGCTAGGTCTGCGTCGCCTCGACGTGTAGTTACATTTTTTGGGAGGTGCAGGTCAGGCTACGCCGGGGGCTACGGCAAGCCTCCTGCGTAGCCACGTACCCCACGAAATAGGTACGTCGTTGATTTAACGCAGGACCATGAATCAGGCTTAAAGCTTGACCTGTGACCCTGCTTGAGTTATAGCAGGGTCTCGACTTGATCTGGTTGATTCTCGCAACAGTAACTTGGGACTTGCTTAAGACTTGAAGGTTAAGACTTGAGACTTGCTTGAGAATTGCACCTGTGACTTACTCCCATCTCTGTAAATCTAGGAACTCTTTGTTAAGCAATAGTTTAGCAATAATAGCTCTTATCTAGACTTCATTGAGGGTTAGGGTTAGGGTTATGTCTGTAAGTGAACTATTACTTTAATGGGTTAAGTGCTGCACCAATCAATTAATTAGCTGTCAACTAATTAAATAGTCTGGAACTAATTTGATAAACAATTAATTTGAGTAATTTTTAAAGACAAAAATAAGTCAAAATTCTCAGATTCCAGCCTCTTAAATGTGAATATTTTGTGGTTTCTTTACTCCACTCTGACAGTAAACTAAGTATCTTTGGGTTGTGGATAAAATAAGACACTTGGGGACATCATCTTGGGCTTTCACCATTTCTCACATTTTATAGACCAAACAAGTATCGATTAATGGTTAAAAAATAATCAATAGAATAATAAACAATCAAAATTAATCATTAGCTGCAGCCTGAATTGGTTTAGGCAGAGTCTGCCATTAGAGTAAAGTGCACGTTTAGAGTATCACCATCTGTCTGCCTTTGTCCAAAATCCCTGATAGGACATTTTGTGGAAAAGATTGAATAGCTACAGCACTGGCTTTTCATGTCCAGCTATAGCAGCTGTTGGATTACACCAAATCCTAGAAAATGTCAGTTTCTAAAACAAATTTCATCAAAGCGCTCTCAAATCCAGGTGTTGCTTGGACCAGGTCTGATGCGCAGATGAGGAATTATTTAGTGACCTGCTGCTGCTGCAGACTGCCCTCTTACTGTCCTCCGCCTCCGTAAATCTATCCAGGCTTGAGCCAGGGAAGAGATGAGGGCCGAGATTTCATCCATGGGTAATAGATGATATGTCACCGAGACAGAGAGGCTGGTGCATGCTAATAGTCAGCCACAGCGTTTCCCCTCGCCCCGCTATAGCCGAGTTCTGACTGATAGATTATAGAGGAGCCAAGGCTCCTCAATCAAACCTGGGACCCTTCACTGCACAAGACCTTAGGAAAGAGGAGATGCGTATTCATCTCACACACCTCATTTTTTTCAGGGAGATTTCACCCAAGGCGATTTTAGCGGCGCATCACTGCTGTATAGGTCTAAACAACCTTTAGATCATACAGTAATGGGAAAAGAAGATAAACATGTACCCCCCATGTTGCAAAACAAGATTGCCTTCCACAACTTGGGGCCATGGGGCTCCTGTTGAACTATTAAATGCAACAAAGCTCATCTATATATCAGCTCAGCAGCTGCGATTCACACAACACGACCCAAAGGCTTTCTATAAATGCTGCCACTGATACATTTCTCTTATCGTGTAGATGGAGTTTTGTGTTTTTTCCTTTTTAGTGAACCACCAGAGGCAAATAAACACAATAAATGGTACCAAGAAACTCATTCTGGTATGTGCTGCTTTTCTGAAATTACAGTAATACTTAAAATTAGAGACTTAAATCTCCAGTATGTAGGATTTAAGGGGATATACTGACAGGAATGGAATATAAGTTCATTTTCTTCAGTGTATAATATCCTGAAAAGAATTGTTGTGTTTTTGTTACCTTAGAATGAGCTGTTTATATCTACATAGCTAGTGGGTCCTTGTCCATGGAGTCCGCCATGTTTCTACAGTGGCCAGGAGCAAACAAACCACTGGTTCTAGATAGGGCCATTTGTATTTTTAGCCCCTTTTCCACCAAACACTTTCAGTATGGTACCTTTGGAACCAACAGTAACCCTTCAGACATGGTACCTAGACCCTAGTGTTTCCAACACAAACATTGCTCTTAAATGTGGGCGGGGTTGTTGTCACTCACTGCTTCGTCCAGCACTCACTGTATTTCCTCCTTTATCAGTCTGCACCTTGTTTATCGCATATATAGCGGGTTTGTGCATTTAGTCCTTCTCAGGCAAGCTCAGGGATTTAGTGTTGCTGTAGCCCACAGGAAAGATAATCCACGACGCTTTTTTTTCTCTCTCCGAGTGAGGATTAGAATATATGCTGTTCACATAATCCGGCCAAAATGAATATACTGTAAAAACACTTGAAGATCCACTCATTACTTAAAGTGTCTGTCATGTAAAAACTGAAGTATCGGTCAAAGTTGTCACAGTGAAATTTAAGGTGTGTTGATGGATTCATGTCATCACCTCATGCATTGAGAAACATTACAAGTAAACGTTCCACCTTAAAAGTCACCGTCAGTCGGCCCAGTGAATGAAATTATTTTTTCTCCGCCTCCAGCTGCTGTGAGAGGCAGCAAAACATCCTTTCATTTTATAGTTACAGTTTACTAATAAAACTCTCCACAGTATGAACAGTGGTTACATGAGCCTCAAAACCAGTCACAACTCAGCCCTGAGCAGAGTGACCGTCCTCTACTGACCAATCAGACTGCAGTGTTCACAGCTCCACCTTTTAGTACCAGATCTGTGTGCTAGGTACCCCAACAGAGGGGGGACCAAACATGGGGACGGTACGGCACGGTTCCATTGGTACCATCCACAACTTTTCACTGTTGCGTAACTGAACTGTATCGTACCGCACAGGGCATTTGTGTCAGCCACCATAGTTAGCAGCTTCTCCTCGACAAGCCTGATAGCTTCAGAAAAACTGACTTTTAATGTGTAGCTGCTTTATTCAGTTGTTTCTTACTGGTTTAAATCGCTCCCTGTAAAACCCTCCTAATGAATAAAAACTGAAGGAATCCTAACCGGGAGTTCACACTTGGCACATGGGAGCAGTTTCAGTTGGTCTAACTCCGCAATCCTCACCGCTAGATGGCACAAAATCCTTCATCCTCCTCCTTTAGCACTGCTCTAAAAATAAATCTTTAAACTCCTGAGTTATTGTTTTAGACTAAAGGTGTTCCTTTCCTTTTTGTTTCAGGAAACCCCCAGATCTGGGAGCGGCCGCCACAAGAGGTGAGTCTCATTTTATTATCCTGACACTGAGAGCGGAGTTTATCTGCTCCAGCATCACTAGTAATGTGTCAAGAGAAGAAACAGAGGCCGAGATGAGAAACAGCAGTTTGAGTCATTAATTACGAGAGCACATTCTATCTGAAACGGTCAGAGGGCCTTTGCCTGGAGCGTCACTGTTGAATTTTTTTCCACCTCAGTGCTGCTCTTTTCATGCTTTCATTGCTCTGAAAAGATAGCTGTTGATGACTGTATTGAACAGTAGCTGACAGGACACCATCTGGGCTTTGGACACTTTGTTCAGACCATCACTTCTCTGCTGTAGCTGGCAGAGACTGTTGAAAGTAAATCTTTTGCCGTGAAAGGTTTGGAGTCTGAAATGTGTGGTTTATTTCGGTGTAGATTGCTTTGCAAGATTGCATTTGATAAGGGGCTTTCAAACTTCTTTCAAACACCCAAAAAGATTGATGTTTGGACACCTCCTCCTGGGCAAATGTTTTTTCTTTTTATTTCATACAATTTACTGTAGACGTTTTGGCAGAGAGCACAAAAATTGGGGTTGAAATAAATGTTCTTTCATGTGCTTCCATTAAACTACAACATACGTGAAATAATAGTCAAATCTCTGACTTGCTGAGAGGCCAAACTTGTGAGGAAAATTGTACTTATTGATTAGCCAAATCGTCACACTGCAGCCTGCAACACACAGTCAACACTACAAGTTTTAAAGTCCTCTGAGAACATCTGTGTGTTTCCCCTGGGTGTGTATTTATTCTGCTTTATTCGCAACCAAATTGTGAAGTTGTGGCCAACCCCGACAGCCAAGTTCACCAACTGACATTCAATCTGGCCATGTAATTATGGCCACTGCTCTCATCAGCTGGCTCGGCTACACTTGGACGCTCCGCAGTTCTGCAACGGATAACCCGCCAGGTGGGCCGGGCGGGCGGGCGGGCAGCACAAGATGGCTGATAGAGCAACTCTATAGATTCGTGTCTCCCTCTAATTTACTCTCTCTTCTCTGTCAACTCGCTCCTGTCTCAGTCACTTTATCTTTTTTCTCTCTAGATTCAGGCTCGGCTCTGCTATCCCTGCTCTCCTCAATAACTACTTGGAAAATGTTGAAAACTCTGTTTTCATTCAGCCCTGATGCATGATGTTCCATCTTATGTTATCCATCTTAAGAACAGAGATGGGAATTGATACGATTTATTGATACTAATGCTGTTGTTATTATTATTATTTACTCTGCTTACCAATTTGCTTACAAAGAATTTTCCTAGTCGACCAATAGTCGTCATTTAGGGCCATTAGTTGACTAGTCACCTGCATGTTTCTGATATTAATGTAATTATTAAATTATATATTTTGGGCGGGGCAACTCAATGGTTTGAGTTGAAGGTGTGAGAAAGAATAGTATCAGTAACATTGTTAACACTGTGCTACATTACAGAGAAATACAAAACCGTACTAATGAACCTTCATTAATATAGGCCTATATTTTATCTACAAGTGCACGTCACACACTGAGCGAGCTGCCTGTTAATGACGCTGTGGGCTAATGGGCATGTAGCTACTTCCATGTTTCAGATGATACGTCATGTTTGTAGTCGACCAATGAAGATGAGTTTACATATCACCTTGGGTTCGTCCTTCACCTTCTCAAAATGATCCCACACTTTGGATTTCCTGCCCGACATGTTATTAACTAGCCTGTGGAATAACCGCAGGTACCAGCCCTGGAAATTAACCTGACTCCTGTCTGACTGCTGAGCGTGGACACTTCCTGTGTCTGTCCTTTCACATTAAATTCCCACATGGTCCAGTCGACTTATTTTGACAAGGCACAGACTCAGCGACCAATTATGACCTTTCGGTCAACTAACGTTTGGTTGACTATTCGGGGGCAGCCCTACATGAAAGGAATTGATAAACTTTGAAGCATATGATTCAGATTACAATTTGGAAGAAGTTCTCGATTCCCATTCCCATAGTGGAATATCATAATCTCTATAAACAGATATCTGCACATGAATTTAACACCTGGAGGCAACAGGACAAGATTTGGCATCGGAAGTGTTGTGGTCGTAATGGCAGGAATACAATCTCTGAACCCTCTCAGCTATCATCTGATGATGATTTAGCTTTTTATTTGCTTTTTAAAAATGTATCTGCATTGATATGTGGAACTGTAGACATTCTCTCTCATCTCCATTCTTGCATCTCATGTTGCTAGTCAGATTATAAACAATAACTGATCCATTAAAGAGGAAGTCTTGGCCTGGATATCCATTATCCATTATCCGGATATCTACTGGCTTCAGAGGAACCACTAAAATATTTGCTGTTGCTCCCAGAGGTATATTATCATCAGATATCCATTCAGATATCTAGCATCTAATACTGTCTGCCTTTCGGCCTGTTGAACTTGTCTGATAGAACTTATTAGCCTATGTAGCATATTAGCTTTGCAACACAAGTGTTTCAATTTCTGAAGCTCCTTCTACTTTTCAAATAAAAAACAAAATACTTACCGACTGCAGCTCATCTTGAATAGTTCAAGGCACCTGGGAGATTGAAGCATTTTAAACCTAAACACAAATCTCAGCAGCCATTGAGATGAAAGAAGCATTAATCAGCTGCACTTTTCAAGCTCTGACCCGTAAATAATGGTTGTTTGTGTAAATGGACAGGGCGATATTAAACAACCAGCTCAAAACAACTCTGAACATCTTTATGTTTTCTTTCTGTTTGAGGGAATGGCATGTACCTTAGCGAGGCGGGGTGTTAATCAGATATTTGAGTACTGTGTGTTGTGGTTTCCAGTGTAGTTTTGACACATTGACACTTGAGTGTGTGAGAGACGTTGTTATACCTGTGGCTGCTGCTGTTAAAGGCTCTCCTGTCTGTGCTTTCTCCTTCCCACCTGCTGAGGCTCCCGAGAGTGCATGATTGGCTCAGCCTCTCTCTCCCCCAGACCTCACGCCGCAGGGTGCTAATGGGCCGCGGTGTGATATTTAGTATCGAGGCCATGGATGTTTAGGCTTAGCTTCAACACCCACTGAGCACCTTAGAGTACCCGTGTGTGTGTTGTTTGTGTGTGAGCGTGGGTGTGACCAGGAATATATCTCTTAACTGAAAATAACATGCATGGATGTAGATACACAAAGCATGTCATTGCTTTGCGTTTGGCGAGGGAACGTATTCAGCGTCACACTTTGTAACACTTACGTGCGCGTGCGTTTTGCATGTGTGGTCATGCTGATATAAAACAAGAGTAGCCTTGAAGAGCCTACGATGAGAGAGGCAAATGAAACACACTTTATCTTGTCATAGGCGAGCACCAGGGAGAGTGTTTCAAGGACTCGCTCTTGATCAAAAGCGATGGCCGTTGCAATGTTTGGCTCTCTGTTAGAATGAGTGAAAATAAGCCGTTGGTTCTGTCAAATGAATGTACGGAAAAATACCACCTCTGCTTGTGAATGAAAAGGCACAGTGGCCTCAATAGAGAAAAGAGGAAAGGCTGAAAGTCAGAAGGGAGGGTCAGAGTGTTTTCATCATGGGGCTTGTGTCTGTAGTTTGTCCTCATCCTCCATAAAGTCATGGCTGTAGACTGCAACCAATGGTCACATATGCAACCATTTGTCTTGAAGGTGCAAGTTCAAATTTCACATGGTTGCAATCTTGTGAGTGCATTATGCATCTACAATGACAAACTGACTCATCTTAACAAGTCTACTGCAGGTGAAATGCATGTCGGCAGGTCTGAGTTACAGCCTGTACTTCTGGTGTATGAAATGTCTGTATCGTCAAAGCATTGCGTTTTTATCAGGGCTGCCCCTGACTAAGAATTTTCCTAGTTGACCAATAGTCATCATTTAGGGCCATTAGCCAACTAGTCGCCTGCATGTTTAGGATATTAATGTAATTATTACATGATATATTTTGGTGGTTTGAGTTGAAGGTGTGAGAAAGAATAGTATCAGTAACATTGTTAACACTGTGCTACATTACAGAGAAATACAAAACCGTACTAATGAACCTTCATTAATATAGGCCTATATTTTATCTACAAGTGCACGTCACACACTGAGCGAGCCGCCTGTTAATGACGCTGTGGGCTAATGGGCATGTAGCTACTTCCATGTTTCAGATGATACGTCATGTTTGTAGTCGACCAATGAAGATGAGTTTACATATCACCTTGGGTTCGTCCTTCACCTTCTCAAAATGATCCCACACTTTGGATTTCCTGCCCGACATGTTATTAACTAGCCTGTGGAATAACCGCAGGTACCAGCCCTGGAAATTAACCTGACTCCTGTCTGACTGCTGAGCGTGGACACTTCCTGTGTCTGTCCTTTCACATTAAATTCCCACATGGTCCAGTCATATAGGATTGGATGTTTTTTTACAAGGCGCAGCTCCTTATAGAGAAGCAGCCAATGAAATCTTGTCGACTAATGACTAGGGCTGCCACTAACGATTATTTTCATTGTCGACTAATCTGTCAATTACTTCTTCAATTAGTCGACTAATCATTTCATTGAAAAATGTGTTAAAATGTTGAAAAATGTCGGTCTGTCTCGCCCAAACCCCAAAATTACTACTACGCACTACGTTGCTTAGCCTCTGTGCCAGTTATAACTGTTATAACTCTTCCTAATTGGATGTGACACACATGATCTACCCTGCTCCGTGCATCAGCAAACAAGCTAAGTGACATTTTGTGTCTGAAAAACCGCTCGCTCTGGCTCTATTTTGGCAAAGTTTCTTGCACCTCCAACCTATTTTCAGAGCAACAGCAAGCCATTGCTTCGGCTTGCTCAGGGATCAGTTGGGTCCTTGACGGTTGTTGTCATTGGAAATTTCTTGGACATAGTTCACTCATGCTAGGAAGAGGTTTCAGAGAGGGATATCGCTAATTTGGAAGACTGATAACGCAGTTTTTAAGGAAGGCTAGGCTTCATCAAGGCGCAATTGGCGGGCAAGGGGGGTTACGTCAGGTTATGCAGGAAAAAGTGTTTGAAAGGGACACTAAAACATGCATACTCTGACCCAAATTTGAATGTTTGGATTTGATTACATACGGGACACTACCGGAAAGCTACAAAGTATTATAAATGTACTTTATGACCACAGCTTCCAAGGTTCAGTTCTGACCAGGGGACCCCTGCTGCATGTCATATCTTTCTTTTACCTCATGTTTCCTGCCTGTCTCTACACGGTCATAAACCCAGTAAAAGCTAAGGATGCCAAAGAGGGGAATTAAATTTGATATTGTGACAGTCTTTTAAGCATATTGCTCTCCACTGTCTCTCCGTCTCAGAGTTAAAAGTACTTTGTAAAGTAGTCTAATAATGGGAACATCATATCTGGCAGATCCTGAAAGGAGTGCAGATGGTACAAAGGAGTTATATTTGTCCTTTGTCTTGCCAGCAGCTTTCCTGTCGGTTTCAGCTGCAGAAAAATGCAGACAGCCCCCTTAAGACAATTCAGTGAAGCCCATAGACGTACACAGAATAATTTGATTCCCAGGGAGATTTTATAAACCTGGCACAATCTGTTCCTACCGGGGAGTGGGAGTTGTAGTTGGGTGGGGGTGCAGAGCCAGCAACTCATTCCAAGTTTCCACGTCAATAATTATTAGAATAAGGTCAGTAAGAAAATAAACTGCACGTGAATATTCTTCCCCAGCTGCCCCAGAATCTATCTCTGGGCAGCGAGAAGGTGAAGAGGACATAAGATTAATGTTCTGCTCGAGCTGCATTCAAAAACCTTTACTTTTTTTTTTTTTTTTTAGCTCTCACCAGCTTAAGAACAGTGACGCACAAGTTGCCGCTGCCATTCTTGAGCCAATTTTGAAGGTGTAATATGTAAATTGTTTCATAATCAGAATCCTTTTTGCACCAAAGTTGCAAAGCCTCGACGGCCTTTTCTCCATTAATGGAATAAAAGGCGGAGGGGTGTTAATAATGCATGCCTAATTGAAAGGGCAAACACGCAGAAGATATTCCCACCTGTTCTTTTGACGATGGATGTGTCATCTCATTGAAGTCTAATAATGTGGCTATGATTCATACCTTCAAACAGCCTCAGTGTGAAGACAGTATTGGACACTGTCAATCGTGGAAATCAACACAAAATTCAAAGTTTATCGATTTTCTTTTATATAAAAGAATTTAAAGTACAATAATAAAAAACCTTGAGTATACAAGTTGTATTCGGTGTTGTATTTATGTTTCTGTGTGTGTTTGTGACAGCTCTGCAGGGCCAGGATCCGAGGAGGAGGTGGGTGGGAACAGACAACGACACAACCGCCATGGCAGAGATGGAGGAGCTGTAGCACCCGGGAGTTTGGAGAAAAGGTTGGAGGAGCTGGAGAAGGTGCGTCCTCTGACCCTGTTGTTCATACTCCTGCTCGGTTACACTCACAGCTAACGCTGATTAGTTCCACTAATACAAACATAAGCCAGTTAAATTGTGTGTTTAAAGGAATAGTTCTACATTTTGGGAAATACTCTTTCTCATGTCTGTGTTTTAAAGCTGGGGTAGGCAGGTTTACTTTGGCATCACTGGGCAAAAATCCCATAATTAGAATCTGAACGTTGTGGTTCAAGTGTGTGGGAGAAAACTAGACTTCTCCACCTCCTCTTGGCTCTGTTTTCAGGGTTTAAATGTACCCAGTGACAGGGAGACAGGGGACTTTGGCCATTCACAGGTCATTTCAGAGAGAGGGCGTTCCTGTTAGCTGTTCCACAAATTCAGATGCATGTATACGTCCCTGCAGATGGTGAAAGCCTGATTCAGCGGTGGAGAATCATGCTGAGAAATGTTGCTATTCCAGCATTGGCAGCAACTGTCCACACACTGACTCTGACAATTAACAGATAAAACAAGTGTCAGTTTCAGCACAGTGAATCAGAGATGGAGAGGAAATGTTGCTAATAGTTTAGCCATCTGCTAACCGGAGTTAAAGGCTCACAGCTGCAGCTTCAAGTTAACGTTTAGGCAGCTAACATTAGCTAGAGCCTTGAATCATAGTGTGTCCTCTGCCTCACTCTCTGCTGCTGCCAACAACCTCGCCGGGAGGAAAGTGGGCAGCAGCTCAAGAGAGACCCCCAGTCAGCAGCTGCAGCAACTCGAACTCAGCCAGCACAAACCCCACTTCCAGTGGACGAGACAGCCCCGACTCTAATGCTGCTGTAACACAAGTTAGACCTGGCGCTGCCGCTGACCACCAGCCCGCTGTGACTACTGAAGTTGAGTTGCTACAGCCACCGACTGGCAGCCCCTCCCTGGAGCAGCTGCCCACCCTCCTCCCAGCAAAGTAGTCCACAGTGGCAGAGCAAGGTAGTGAGACTGTTGGGTGTGGCAGCTCACTAATTCGTGTCTTATTTGCGCTCTGATAAAGACAGAAAGAAGAGAACTGAGCACCAATGGTGGACCTGCTAATTCTGGTGTTCTCTGGGGAGAGGGCATGGTGCTGAGCTGTGAGCACAGGTCCCACTAGAGGACATTGGGCTCTCATGCCACCCTCATGGAGTCTGTTTCTGACAGTGTGGTCAGAAACATGCACACCAGTTGCCTGCTGGAGGACATTTTGTCGGGCTCTGGCAGTGCTCCTCCTGTTTTCCTCACACAAAGGAGCAGATACCGGTCCTGTTGCTGGGTTGATGCCCTTCTGCGGCCCTGTCCAGCTCTCCTCAAGTAACACCTGGTCTCCTGGTGTCTCCTCCAACCTTCTTGCGTGCGCACGTATGGGGATGCTGGACTACCTGTGCAGCCTGATTGGGCTGCAGGTACCGCCTCATGCTACCAGTAGTGACAAGGACACAAGCAGAACACAAAACTAGAGAAGAATCAGTCAGGACGGATGAAGAGAGAACAGCTGTCTGTGGAACCCACATGTAAAACCATTCCCTTTTTGGGGGTTGTCTTGCTTTTGCCTCTCCATTGCACCTGTTGTCACTTTCATTGGCAAAATAGTACATCAGTGGCAAAATAGTAGATATATCTTGATAATCAGAAGCTTCAGAGGTTTTTGCAGTCATATATTGAGTCAGTCAGTTTCCCATATGACAATAGCATTGGTCTTCTTACCTAACTCTTGGCAAGACAGCAAGTTATTTCCCAAAATGTCAAGGTATTTCTTTAAATAGCGCACCTATCATATAACACATGTTTCTATTGTATACTATGAGTTTATTTTGTAAAGGTTACTCTTAAAACATATATCCATTTTTATTTTTGCTGATGGAAAGGTGAGTGAATGTGGACAGCTGCTCTGAGACTGGACTGTTTCCTATCTTGGTTCAGATGAGTCAGAATACACATCCTGGCAGGTTTTTATCACCTCCCTGCTGTGAGAAGGTCAGCGCCTGTTGTTCTTGAGAGTGTTCTTGGTATTTAATGGAACATCTTGCCGATTCTGTCACTCTCACCAATTGAGCATCAGCGATTTATATCACCAGTTATTCTTCCTGCTGCTTTTTTAAATTAGCCACAGTGGAATAGAAAAAACTTAAGAATGTTCACTTTTAGATTCTACTCAGTTTTTTATCACTCATCCGCTCCCTGCTGTATGTAGCTTTTCCTTCCTTTTTCTTGTTTGTTTTTTTTTAGATTAAATTCGTATCCATAGTGATCACTCCTGAAATAAGACCTAAATAAACACTCACTGGCCACTTTATTAGGTACACCTGTGCAATTGCTCGTTAAAGCAAATAGCAAATCGGCCCATGTGGCAGCAACTCAATGCATTTCGACATGTAGACATGGTCAAGACAACCCTCTGAAGTTCAAACTGAGCATCAAAGAGGAGAAGAAAGTTGATTTAAGTGACTTTGAATGTGGCATGGTTGTTGGTGCCAGATGGGCTGGTCTGAGTATTTACTGGGATTTTCACACACAGTCATCTCTAGGGTTTACAGAGGATGGTCCCAGAAAGAGAAAATATCCAGTGAGCAGCAGTTCTGCCTTGTTGATGCCAGAGGTCAGAGGAGAATGGCCAGACTGGTTCAAGATGATAGAAAGGCAACAGGAAGTCAAATAACTACTGGTTACAACCAAGGTCTGCAGAAGACCATCTCTGAACCAACAACACATCCAACCTTGAAGCAGATGGGCTACAGCAGCAGAAGACCACACCAGGTGCCACTCCTGTCAGCTAACAACAGGAAACTGAGGCTACAGTTCACACAGGCTCACCAAAACTGGACAATAGAAGATTGGAAAAACGTTGCCTGGTCTGATGAGTCTGGATTTCAACATTCAGATGGTAGGGTCAGAATTTGGTGTAATGGATCCATCCTGCCTTGTATCAACGGTTCAGGCTGGTGGTGGTGGTGTAATGGTGTGGGGGATATTTTCTTAGTACCAACTGAGCATGGTTTAAACACCACAGCCTACCTGAATATTGTTGCTGACCGTGTCCATCCCTTTATGACCACAGTGTACCCATCTTCTGATGGCTACTTCCAGCAGGATAACACACCATGTCACAAAGCTCAAATCATCTCAAACTGGTTTCTTGAACATGACAATGAGTTCACTGTGCTCCAATGGCCTCCATAGTCACCAGATCTCAGTCCAATAGAGCACCTTTGGGATGTGGTGGAACGGGAGATTCACATCATGGATGTGCAGCCGACAAATCTGCAGCAACTGTGTGATGCTATCATGTCAATATTGACCAAAATCTCAGGAATGTTTCCAGCACCTTGTTGAATCTGTGACACCAAGAATTAAGGCGGTTCTGAAGGCAAAGGGGTTCCACCTGGCACTAGCAAGGTGTACCTAATAAAGTCATATTTAAAAATATAGGCTCAGCCATACAAAAAAGTCACCAATTGTAATTTGTGTGTAAATTTAAAGTTGTAAACTCCTCCTCATGTCTGTAATTTCCCAAATACTCAGAAACAATACTAAGGACCTGACTGTGTTTTAGCTACTGCCCTGAACTGAACCATAAAATTCTGTTCGACCATCAAGGTGTCAGTTACACCCTCAAAATAGGACAATTTGAAGAAAAATCAGCGTGTGAGAGCAGAGTGTAACCAAAACTAAATCGACCCCAACCACCATGGAAATGTAAAACCACAGAGGAAGCATCGACTTGATGATGGACATATACTAACACAGCCAAACCATATCAACTTTTCAATGAGTTTGGGAAATGCTTCACCCAGAAGTCTTTGAGCCAAGTAAAAGCCTCTATCAGCTGCACTTTGCTCAGATGAATTTCCACTTTGAGTCCTTTGAGCGGCCGCCCGAGTTCTGATTTTTATGGCTGGAAACTGCGGCTCCTCCTTGGTGTTGTTGAAGCGATGACCTTTTACAGCGCAGATATGTCTTTTCCTCCCACACAGTTCCTATCAGACACTCAACTCCTCACTGTAGAAACTCAACGCGGAATCAAATGTCACCTGGGTGGCTTTCAGGGAAAAGGGGGTTTTAAAGTAAGTGCTGCTTCGACCTCGGTGACTTCAGCGTGAGGTGTTTCTTTGAGTCAAATGACTTGAAAATCCCTTTTCGCACACTTATATTTGTGCACAGTTTCTGCAGGCGGAGGTGTGCATGTCGAAGGTCTGTTCATATGAGATTGCTGGAAAGTACATCTCTGAGACTTCAGGCTGCAACTTTAGGTCCTTAATGAAAAACTGAAAGCACAGAGATCTTCATAAATATATATCTCTGAAAAGAAACACCGCTCACATATCCAGCCTCAGCCAAGGAGAGTCACAGAGCCAGGTCAGATGACACATTCAGAGCGAAGCCGCTTATGGAGATGTAGCCTGCGTTACTGTATTGGTTTGAGAGGAGCACAAGAGATGTTTGTTCAAAGCCTTCAAGACTTCAAAGCTGCAGTTATCTGTGGTGCCTTTTAAAACCCAGGATGAATAGAGTTTCATTTGTAAGCATATTTACATCGGTGTCTTCTACTGTATCTGCTCGATAGGTTTCTATGGAAACAATTTCATGTTTATCTGGAAACTGGAAATCCTGATCTCATCCTCATTTCCTTTTTTTGTGTGAATTTTAAAGCCTCTGTGTTTTTTAAAGCGTGCATGGACTGTCTGTCTCTCTCTCAGTAGGGAACAATATCCATTTATTTAACTGTAGTTGTCGGAGGAGGCGGACAGGAACACACTGGCTTTTAATCAAGTACAATTTGAAAGCAACACAAAAGCGCTGTGAAAAAGGAACTATTAATGCATTGTTCACTGACAATCTGCTCTGTTGATTATTACAGATTGCTTGTTTTGAAAAATATGTTGAATTCAGGAATAGAAAATTATGTATTTGATTAAAACTGTCATGCCACAAAAAGTCAGTGCTTTTTATTGATTGAGTTTTAACGCCCTCTGAGAACTTTTGGAAGTAGAATGTGCTTTCATTAAAGTAGTCTCACGTGGCAGTAGAATAATACACAGGCCTGTGTATTGTCAAATGTTGAATACAGCTGTTTGCAGTTGTAGATTTGGCACAGCCGAGGCTTTCTAATGTTTGGCAGTAGTAAGGTTAAAGTTACTTAAGTTTCTCATGGAGAAAATTGTATTGGATTAAAGGGTAACTTTTTTACACCTGGACCATATTTCCCCATGTGTTTGTGTCTAAGTGACTAATAGGAACATCAAACCGGTCCGGTATCGAGTGAGACCACTGTAGCCGGCAGTGGTGACAGTCACGTCCACTCAGGGACTAATTTTGTTCCAAAGTTGTATAATTGCCTGAGTTGGTTCATGTTCTCACGGCAGCATTTACAAGCGGACCAGATCAATGCCTTGTGTGAGAAAGCTGCTCTTGATTGGTCAGAATTTCCATGTGGGAAAAATACAGGAAGTAAAGCAAACGTTGAAGAAGAGTACACTTGCAAGATAAATGTGACACTTTCTAATGTCACAATGGAGGGACAACTAAGCAGGTTGATTTTAGCGCTGCTCATCGTGGACTATATTGCTGTCATTGTTCATTTTAGTCAAACCATACAGTTTGAAAACGAGGCGCGGCTCCAACTAGAAAACAATGTTTTGATGCATTGGATGTGCTGAATGTGCATATTAAGGCAGTACAGGAGGAGGTGCACATTAATAATCCTCCAGGACTGTAACATGCTCATGTTTAACCCAAACAATGTGTCATGTGACTGCAGTTGGTTCAGATCCAGGTCGGAACACGTTCTCACCACAAACGAACCACACCATTTGTAACCAGACTGAGACCACCTCTTCAAGAAGGTCTCGATCCGGTTGTTTTGGTGCGCACCTGAGTGTGATTGCTGTGTTCACACCTGCCCAAACGAACCGCACTAAGGGGACAAACAAACTTGAGTTCGATTGAACCGAACCAAACAGCGCAGGTGTGAAAGCACCTTTAGTGGACGTAAATTGACAATGCACATATTGCGTTACATCGCAGCCTGTTTTACAGGTGCCAGCTGCAGTCCTCTCACACAGTACTGGACCAAATTCAAATATTCTTGTCCCAATTAGTCACTTAGATACAAAAACAAAGGAGATGAGGGTCCGGGTCGAGAAACACTAAAGTTACCCTTTAAGGGAACTGCTGCATCAAAACCAAACATCACAATGAAACACATTTACACAACATTAGCCAAGATAAAACCAAACCAAACAGTAACCAAAAGATGAAATTCGTACAGAGTTCACATGAAGAAGTTGGCCACAACAGTTGTTTTCTATCAAGTACATCATTTGTGGAGGAGGTTCTGTTGTGGAAACACTTATTCAGCCATCTTCATGCATCAGTCTACTGGTCATCTGGGTCCAGGCCCTGGTGGTAGCAGGCCGAGCCCCTTCCTGTAGCTCCTCCAGGGGAATCTCAAGGCTTTCCCAGGCCAGATGGGATACACTGTATCACTGTATACTCCCTCCAGCATCTTATATTCCTCCCAGTTGGGTTCAGCTTCACAGTCAGTGGATGTATTAGCAATTCTACTCAAAGCTTCCTGAAGTGTTTGTATGCATCAAACAAAGTGCTTGTTGGATCATTGAACAGCATCTGAACCCGTCTACCTACACACTTTTCCAACTTTGGAATTAAAGAGGCTGCATCCTCTAATCTTTTGTAACTATTTAGAATCTGACGCTCTTTTTACATTCTTCACACATCTACCTATGTCACTTTTCATGCATACAACTTATGTATGAATGTCTTTCAGGAGATATTTTCCAAAAGTGTGCACCCCCACCCCAGTTCATATGATTCATAATGTCTCACCCCTCTCTATGAAGGCAGCCTTTTTGCATGTCATCGAGTGTGGCCATTTGGAACCTGTGTAAACACTCTTGCCTTAAGGCATGGTCAAACGACACTTTGTACAAGATAGTTATTTCAACAACATCTTAGCGTAAGGGTGAACCCTAACCAAATACTTCAACCCCAAATGATCATCTGTATATCAGTTAAGCCCAGTTCAGACCAAACGTTTGGGACGAGACAAAAACGTTTTAGAACGTTGCAGCAGTGTGAATAGGCCTTACTGAGCTCGACTCAAGCCGGCTGTAGTGTCACCTGCAACTCAGCTGGTCAAATCGCTGGCGGCTGGTTTTAGAACGCATGTTACCAGTTTCTACAGCCAAACAGCTTGTAGTGAAGTCCGCTGGTCAAGTCAAAATGGCAGCAGACGGCGTGTTCACTTGCTGTGGGTGCAGGTGCTCCGTCCCTGCCGAGCCTTGGTGTCGGACGATAGGTCACTGCTGCTCCTCGCTGTATGTGCTTATGCCCCACACATACTTACTCTCAATGTCTGATTCAGAGACCTGGATTATACTGCACAAGTTGTGTGAGAGTCCATAAACAGATGTGTTGACATAGTTTAAACGTGATGCCTCATGCCTTAAAGTCATCAAGAATTTTCTCAGTTTTTGGATTCCCTCTTCGATGTGGAGGCCTAAGAGAAAAACAAAGGTTCAAGAGACGCTTGAACTCCTTTACTTGGAGCAATAACTGTCCCAACCCCACCCTAACACCCAAAACCTCTTTAAAAGCTTTGGTTTAATTTTGAGTTTTCCCTCTCAGGCAGTGATGCTTCAGTGCAAGTGTTTATGACCTGGCAATTACCATCTTTAATAAAGCTGAAGTAATTACATTTTTAGTCCCATAGCAGTGTGTATGAACCTTTGCATCAGGTGAAAAAATTAATCATTCATGCAATCATGTTGCTAATCTGTGTGTGTGTATATGTGTTTTCAGGAGCTGGCCAGAGAGCGCCAGGAGAACGACAGGTTGCTGAAGGCCCACCAGGACAAAGACGACCTCATCGGGAAGCTGAAGGAGGAAATTGACTTGCTGAACAGAGTGAGTCCAGCCTACGTAATTTTCTGTTCTGGTGTCTGATATTTTGAGCGTTCCTTTGTGTTTGTATGTGTGGGCGGCTTGTGTGGGCTGTAAATCATCATCTGGCATTTTAGCGGAGCTGTGTGTGTAATAGCTATGTGTTTTTCTACAAAGATTTTTCCTGCAGTCCATTAGGATTTGGACACAAACAAACCTTTATTTTTGGATTTACACACTTGTTACAAATGACAGCAAATATCAGAGGCATTGTACGTGCAATTTACATTTTACAAACTCACCAGTGGTTTGGTGACATTTGAGTCTTAAAAGTTACTGCTTCCCAGTGTTGCAGTGACATTAATGTCTTATTGATTTATCCACCAAAAAACAAATTGCCTGGTGGATAAGAAGTTCAGACATGATTGTATGTCTTGAGCAAATTAAGAAAGATTTTTTTTTCATACTTTTTGTCAGCTTAAATTTGAGGGTTTCTTCAGTCACTGTTGTGGTCCTCCTTAGAGGGTTTGGACGGATTGTTTTGTCAAATAAAGCAAAAAAGAAAGAGATCAATAAGTAAGATGTTTTGCAGTGGCAGCTGAAAACACCGAAAATACCACGGTCTACAACTTTTAAACACCCAGTTTCTTTCTGCTTTCTTTTGGTTTATTCTCAGGCAGTATGTTTTATGGCAGATTCAGCACCAGCAAAAACATTCAAAGTGAATTTTGACCTCACACTTCACTGTGTCATTTCACATTCACAGCTTCGATACAGAGTTCATGTATCGAGTTAAGCCTAAGAAATCTTGGCCATAATCCAGCTAACTGTGAATAAGACTACACCCGCACTTTTGCAGGTTTTGGGCTTAAGGACTTGCTACCATGACTACAGCTCTTGATTGATCTGAAACCAACTTTGAAGATCTGAAAATCCAGCAGATACTCCAGAAATATACATATCAATCAATCAATTTTATTTATAAAGCCCAATATCACAAATCACAATTTACCTCACAGGGCTTTACAGCATACGACATCCTGCTGTCCTTTGGACCCTCACAGCGGATAAGGAAAAACTCCCCAAAAAAACCCTTTAA